ATTTTGATCATCACAAATTATATTTGACTGTATTAAAAGATATTTATGGATAAACAAAAAAAGATTACACAAACACTATACTTTCACACTCTGGTTTTACAAATATGAAAAAGTTTAAATTACTAAGGATCAATCGTTCATGACATGTTTTGATAGTGAAATATGACATAGACACAAAGGTACTGCTAACCAGTGTACAATGTGCATGCCTACTCAAATGAAATGATTGGCTGACTGCTATCCAATAAGGAGTAAAGTATTTAAAATTAATCAGTAATGCTATAGCACTGGGATTGATTGTAAAAGTTTTTAAAGATTGAAAGCCTTTGCATGCTTTGAAATCCTAAAAGGCTGAAATCTCAATCTCAAGATTTAATATACATATTGTGTTTTGAAGGATTAAAAGTCAGTATATGATTTGCTTGTAAAATTCTTTAAAATGAAGATTATAATCTAACATTCAGTGACATATTATAGAAAGAGTGGGAGATTTTATAACTAATTTCTTACAACTAAACAAATCACTCTGATATCCTTATAATGAAGTTTTACTGTATGCAGGAACACATTGACCTTTAATCTGAAAAATCAATAGAGGTGATTAAGATGTTATCCAATAAGGAGGACTGACAACAATGAATGATATGCAAAAATATAAGATCTTTGATCTGATAATCAAAATATATGAAGCTTATTTAATTAACCTATTTTGAAGTTTGATGAATATTAACCAAACTATTAAATATAGCAGATATGTGTGATACTTTGACCTTTATGACTTAAAACATAATAAGGTCATTTGTTATATTTCCTTTGTGTAACTTGGATGATTATCTTGTATAATGTATTTTGAACATATTAGTTGAACACTATTTAATCTGACTAAAGAAGAAACCTGGAAAATCTTTTAGTCCTTTGTATGAACAAATTATTTGATGTCATGCAGTTATTTTAACCAAAATATCAACAGAACAATCTGATGACTCTTAAATAAAAAGTTCTCACTATAATAGTTAGAAACCATTGCTCTACCTGTCAAACACAAAAAATATGAATGTACTCAACAAAGTAAGTAAGGTTCCTTTTCTTCAAAAAAATAAAATTCTGATGTATTGGGTGAGTGTTTGTTACTTTATGCCTAATAAAGAAAAATTTTTCCTCCATTTTGACTGTATGGATTAAGAGCTGTTCATATAATTGAATCAAACTTATTTCTTTCATGTCATTCTTAATGTACATAGTATTGTCCATCATTCATATTATGTACAAGTTTCAATCCTAATAGATGAATCCACATTTTGTTTTTATTTCACATCACTTGGCAGCCATATTTGAGGGAAACTCAAAATTCTCTGTCCATGTTAATTTCTTGTGTATACCTTCATCATTTGACATAACTCATTTCCTTTGATTGCCTAAATTAGAGCTATTTATACATAGAAAGAGAACAAAAAAAAAATGAATACAGTGAATTTATTGCAATAATACCTGCATGTTTGATACATAAAGAGAAATATTTTTTTCAATTACTTTTTGACCTTTGGATTGACCCTGAATAGAGATAAGGTTTACATTTTGTCAAGTGTAAACTATATACTGCATGACTAAACATGGTTTGTATATTTCAATATGAAATGGTTTCTTTAATGCTTAAATCAAAATATTTCAACTATCCTAGTGAGAATTATGCTCAATTACCCTCTTTAGGAAGAGGGCTCAAATAGGCTTTGCCTGCTGCCCAATTCTATTCACTTATGTATAAAAAATTTTGTATAAATTAATTAACTTTGTGAAATATTCCCAACTTCCAATGCTTTTTAATTTACATTAAAAAAAACTGACTCAAATAAAATTGTTTTCTCATTTATTTTACAAGAAATAACATGCTGACAGTGAATCTATTTATTTTTTTTTTATAAAAAACTGGTTAAACTAATGATTACAATCGTCTTACAATGTTCATATGTAAGTTTATTTCATAAACCAATACCTTAAATGTATAGACTGAAATTACTTATGGATTAACCCCTTTGTAGTAAAAACATTTTTTAAACCTGATTTTCTTGTTTATTCTCTCATATATTTCCTAATTTGAGTATTAGCAAATTATTGATTACATAAGCAAACAAATTTAAGACAAAACTACAATATATGCTGAAAACCCTGAAATGAAATGGTTACATATGTAAGATGTGTAACACATCATGTACAACTTTTAAGTTTACAAGATTTTAAGCTACCCATATTATACAATTAGACTACTTTTTCAAAGTTATGAGAAATTCTTTACAAAAATATAAATGCAAAAGATAAATGTTAGGGTACACTTTTAAAATACATTTTACATGAATCACATAAAGAACATTACAAATCATTTCTTTGTGTTTGTTTTCCTTTGGAACATCTGTGAACAAACATTCTGTTTTGTCTTTCTGATACATGAAAAGCGTCCAAAAATCATTTGAAATTGTTGTGTTAAACCCTGATATAATAATTTTAAGAGTTTCTGGTGTGTGCCCTACTTAGAAATGTTTACAATGTAACAAAGATGAAACTCATAATTTGATTTAATCAGCAATGATAAAGTCATCAGGTTTACACATGCTTTTCTGACACATCATGTACATTTTTTCTACTAGTATATCTTTGTTCACAAAAAAAAAATGAAATCAACAGTACTTAGCATTCCATATAAAGAAATATAAACCCTAGCTATTAAAAAATTTTAAAATATATTTGTGCATCAATGCATTATCTTTAACAAATCAATCTCTTTCACTGTGATGAAAATTGTCTTCTTCATATAACATGCAGACAAAGAACTTCTTTGGATGATGTCATTTTCACATGTAGAAAAGAAACCGAATTCAACTAAAACTAAAAGACAGTCATTAAAATTTTAAGGACATTAAAGGATGATATCAAGACCGAAGTCCAGGAATTGATAAAATTATATAATTATCATCCAAAGATGTATGTGTTTGGATTTATTTTTTAAATTCACAAGCAAATGATATGCTGCCATTTAATCTTTCAAACTTAAAAAAAAAAAAAAATTCTATACTTTTGAATTAAAAATTTCAAAATCTAGAGGAGTCTTCCCAATACCTATCTATTTATGACTGAAGGTATGTAAATCACCAGAGTTGCTGTACTGCACCATTTGAATAAAAGTCATATCCACAGTCTTGACTTTTTTCCCTAAACCTTATTTCAAAACATAAATTATTCCAACCAGTCTTTATCTATGCAGTGATAATAAAATTTTAACAGACTTCTAAGGTATTACATAGTAATAATCATTTATACACCCTTGAACATGTACATTTGATTAACATTTCAATCTTTTCCTAAGAATTTGCACCTAATTTTTATAAAGTCTATAAGTTATCACAAATTGTTAAAGTTACAACAACTGAAAATATAATCCAGGAGAAAAATGATCCAAAAATCTATAGAAAATCTCTGAATCTTTCTTTACTTATGATGTGAAGTTTGTAGGTTGCAAATTATTGTCAACATGTATTATTCCAACCAGTTTTTATCTATGCAGTGATATTAAGATTTTAATAGAATTCTAAGGTATTACATAGTAATGGTCTTTAAACATCCTTGAACATAGTGCATATGATACCAAAGAATATGCCATGCCACCCAATAAAGCTGATAAAAAGTCTCTAGGTTATCACAAATTGTTAAAGTTACAACAACTGAAAATATAATCCAGGAGAAAAATGATCCAAAAATCTATAGAAAATCTCTCAATCTTTCTTTACTTATGATGTGAAGTTTGTAGGTTGTAAATTATTGTCAACATGTATTATTCCAACCAGTTTTTATCTATGCAGTGATATTAAGATTTTAATAGAATTCTAAGGTATTACATAGTAATAGTCTTTAAACATCCTTGAACATAGTGCATATGATTTACCAAAGAATATGCCATGCCACCCAATAAAGCTGATAAAAAGTCTCTAGGTTATCACAAATTGTTAAAGTTACAACAACTGAAAATATAACCCATGAAAAAAAATGATCCAAAAATCTAAAGAAAATCTCTGAATCTTTCTTTACTTATGATGTGAAGTTTGTAGGTTGCAAATTATTGTCAACATGTATTATTCCAACCAGTTTTTATCTATGCAGTGATATTAAGATTTAACTAGAATTCTAAGGTATTACATAGTAATAGTCTTTAAATATCCTTGAACATATTGCATATGATTTACCAAAGAATATGCCATGCCACCCAATAAAGCTGATAAAATGTCTCTAGGTTATCACAAATTGTTAAAGTTACAACAACTGAAAATATTACCCATGAAAAAAATGATCCAAAAATTTATAGAAAATCTCTGAATCTTTCTTTACTTATGATGTGAAGTTTGTATGTTACAAATTATTTTCAAAGGTAGTTATCTCTGAATCAATAATCTCATGCTTTGACCCTGATGAAGTGTCCTAGAAAACTAAGTGCATTACTCTAACCTGTTCTGTGAAGTAAGCATGAAGTCTATGGGATGATAAAAAATATTCAAGATATTATTACATCACAGATTAGGGGACACTTGCATCTTTAGGGGGTCCTATTGAGACCTATTAAATTCAAAATAGGATACACACACAAACAAAATAGGATACACACACAAACAAAATGTATTTACAATTCCATGAAAGTAATAATTACAGCAAAGCTAGCTTCTAAACATCTGTGTAATTTGTTAGGGGTTATAGAAATAAGATGAAAAATAAAAGGTTTAAATGTATACTTCTCTTACATAACAACTGTCTTCAATATGAGTTAGTAAAAATAAATACATATATAATAAATAATATATATAATAATATATATATATATATATATATATATAAAAAAAAAAATAAATATAGATACTTTGAAGTTGGTGAGAATAAATTCATGTTATCAGAAAATCATGTTCTCAATACTTGATTTGACTAGATCTCAGTTTGATAAATGGCTACATCTTATCCATAGTCAGTGTCTGACAGTAAAAGATACTATCCTGGGTCCTTTCTTTGTCATCCTGTAAAGCACAGTCTATGATCGTACTTAAATTGGTTGGAAATCATATTTATCTATGTGCTTCTTAAATCCTCCATCCTGTTTGATTTTCTTGTTTCAGTGTTTTAAGAGAGGATATTCTGTTAGTCTTTGCATAATCTGATAGTCTTTCACCATGCTTCTTAAATCCTCCATCCACCTCCTGTTTGATTTTCTTGTTTCAGTGTTCCAAGAGAGGATATCCTGTTAGTCTTTGCATAATCTGATAGTCTTTCACCATTCTGAGAGTAGACATAGATCATTTCCATAAGCCCTCACTAGAATATCCTGGAAAATAAAAATAATGTCTTAGTTGAAAAAAAAAATTGTTATGTAATATAAGCTTGATGGAATTCTAAATATAGACAAAAAAGGGTATAAATACAAGGTGTAACATCAGATTTTGACTTTTCATATTAACCATGGGTAACACCTCCAGTAAAGAAAAGAGTAAAGGAATGAGTAAAATTCAGTTTGAAAAGAGAGTTCTTTCAGAGAAAGATGTAGACAGAGGTATACCAGTTAAAATAAAAAAAAATAGCATTATTGAGATCATTTCTCAAGAAGAATATAACCAATTATGTCCAGAAAAGGGTGATCCTAATGTTGTCAGAGATTACATAGAAAGATCCTTGATTGCAGAAGAAGCTAATGAAGAATATAACCATTTATTACCAAAAGAAGGTAAGAATTACTATTACAAAATTATGTATTCTGATAAGAAAGTTTTCACTTTCATTTGTTGTGCTTTTGACCATTTTAATTGACCTTATGGTCAAGATTGTGATATATACACTCTGATAATCATTTATGATGTCTCCATGATGTTTACCTCAAAAGTTTGAATCAGGGTATTTGTGTTCAAAGAGCTGAAGAAACTATACAGACAGATCTATAATGATTTTGGAAGCATGCATATTAATTAGGGTAAAGGAGATATAACACTAGATTATTAAAAAGAAAAAGAACACAAACTCATAGAAATGATATTGAAAGTACCTTAAATGAATAAAGTGTCATGCTCCAAGGTATTATTTTTATAAACAGGAGAAGGGTTACAACAGTCCCATGCACTCATAAGAAGATCTTGGGTAATAGAAACACCAGGAAATTTTAATTCCAAACAATCAGGTCATCTTACATCAGTTATAAGGTTACAGACTTTATACATAGTCATAAGGGTCATTAAGATTTCTTTTCTGGTCATCCTAATGAACCACATTATAGTATTCTTTCCCTGTGATATAATGTTAATATTAAATGGAAAATTCAGAATTCACCAGCAATTGAAGTGAAAACTTGCTATCTTTACCAACTATGCTATTAAGGAAACTGGGGTTAACAAATTAGCCATATTTAACTTATTCTATAGATATGCTATCTTTAGCTGTTAACTATCATTTGGCAAAGAAAAACTTCATACATTTTAGTTTTAAAATTTGATCATGAATTTTTATGCCTTTTCTTGTGAAGGATATCAATATGGTTTAAACATGACCATGACCACCAAGCCCTCTTTATTTAAATATATCTATTATTTATCAATTCAAATATATAAACATGCATATGTAACAAAAAAAAAATAAATAAATAAAAGTTACAATTGTATCTCATTGAAACTTTACCTTCAAGTTTGTGTGTTTCTATGTTGATTGACTAACTGTGTATTTCCAAAGGAAGAGCAGCCAGGCTTCACTTCATAGAGAATGGATTATAGATGGTTAGGAACAAAACATATCTTCCAGGTTGAGGACTGTATAGAAAAATAAATTCCATTTTTGTTTTTATGATTTAAATTACATGAGACAATTTCTCTTATAAATGTAATTCAAAATAATATCTCTTATATATTTGGATACCTATACTCTTATCATTTTAAATGTCATTTGTAAAATGTATTTTTTAAGACAGATTTATTTGAGGAGCGACTTTAAATGATGACATGAATAGCAGGCCATACTTTAACAAGTTTAAGCACATGACAAAAACATTCTCTCAAATTACACAGAAATGGGTTATTTAGCATAGCTAACATTAAACATATAGGTGAGTGATAACATAATCACAATCATAAACAATGTGAGACAACTTTAAAATACCTACACTGTGGATTACAAGCCTTTTTCACTGGGGTAAAATCTTGCTGAAATTCGTCATGGCCGCCCGAAACCCCGAACCCGACTGTATAAAAGATGAAGTCATACATTCCATGTTGATGACTGTAGAAATAAAAGCATTTTTTTAATATGACAGAGTACTGCATGAAACAATGCATGTTTAAATACAACATGTACAATGTCAAAAAAAGATCATGAAAATATTTGTGTTTAGACTCAAAACAAATTGTTTTTAACATTAACTCGAGATGAGAAAAGTTCATCATGTTATTTATAGATAATAAACAAGCACAATTACTGTATTAATATCACAAAATAAAATGATTATCAAATTAATTATTTAGACACTAAAAGACCTTTTATTAACAGCAGATTCAATTTTGGTTTAATAGCTATCAGTAATGCATACAGAAAAATACATCTTTTTTTACATCATCACAGTACAACATGTAGTCCTTCATTTTTTTTTTTTTTTGAAAAGCTTAAGAAACAAAAGTGAAAATGAAAATATATGTATAGCATATATCACACATATTTAGAATCAAAACAAAAAGTAAATGACTTAGAATTAATCTTTTGTAAATTCCTCCTTTTCTCTTATTAGATTCCTAATTAATATCTCTTTGATCACCATTTAGTAAGTCTGAATTCCATGGGTAACATACATAATGAATTATGAAATTATATCATGATTTATATGAATGTAAGTTAGAGACAACATATCACATAAGTATTACACAGTCATTAAATTAACCATATAATCATACTTAAATGCAAAGTTGACCTTCATAGGAAATGTAAACAATTAAAAAAAACAAGACAAACTTACCAGAGATATCCAACTATATGCCCAATAAGTCTATCCATTAAATAATCCAGTGTAATAACATCTCAGCTGATCCTGAAAAAAAATCATACAATTTAGTGATACACAAATTAACCTCATTTTACAATGTAAGTAAAGCAATAATTTACAGACAAAAGGGATAGAAATGTAAAAGATACCATGTATTTTACCAAAATTTAGTGAACATTTTTCTGATTTAAATTCAATCATAGAATGACCCATCATAGAAATATGAAATGCACTCTGAGTTACATGCAGGCTATATAACTGTAAATCACATGAAATGAGGATAAATACAGTATTTACATTCAAAATAGAACTTTACATAATAATGATTAAATGCATTTAGATGGCCTTCATATAGGAAATGTAAACAAAAATAAGACAAACTTACCTTTAGAATATGTCTTTCAGAAAGGAGATTTCAAAAATGAACAGGCTCTCAACATTCACATGACAAGAATGCATCAGGATGTTTACTTCCGTGGTCATGGAGAAATTGAGCTTTATACAAGGAAAGCTTCATAACATAACAATCATCAAAGTAAAAGAGAGGAAAAACAAAAGATAGTCTTACATTTTTTGAAAATCTAAGTTGACTTCTTAGAAACAAAAGTGAAAATGAAACTTTAATTTTACAAGTGTATGACGTCATAATGCATAGGGTAGCTCGCTGACATAGATGACGTCACAATGTATAGGTAAGCATATTTTTTGCACACGGCACTTTATAGAGGATGCAAACAGGTATATAAGGAAACACAGGTAAAAGGTATATTTCTTTTGCACATGACCCTAATGTTTTGCACACGGTTCTTTACAGGTGATGCAAACAGGAATAAAAACGCAGGTAAAACGTATTGATTCTTGTTATAATCTGTCTTGTGTGTGTTATTTGCTATTGTTTTCAGTAAAAAAATCCAGGTTGTTATTGTTTTCAGAAAATCCAGTTTGAACTGGTTTAGGCTGTCTAGACTGTGAAGCGTGACGTCATAATCACATTCTTGTAATGTTTTTTGCACACGGCGCATTTACCTGTATAGTTAGCATAAACAAAACGTAGTACCTACGTATAGTATAAACACAGTGTAAACACCCAGTATTTAAGGGGGGACTATATGTAATGAATTAACCCACCTATCCCCCCAAATCTACACTCTCCTGACCCAGCTATCCCCCAGGGGGACTGTACTGAGTTGATCCGGCTATCCCCCAGGGGATGCACTCAGTTGACCCGGTTATCCAGCCTGCTTCCGGCTAGGATATTTCTGGCTAACCCACTTCCGCTTCCGCTAGGGCCCACTTCCGCTTCCACTTAGGGAACCCACTTCCGCCTACCCCAACTTCCGCTTCCGGCCAGCCCACTTCCGTCCACTTCCGGTTAGCCCACTTCTGTCCACTTTCGGTTAGCCCACTTCCGTCCACTTCCGGTTAGCCCACTTCTGGTTATGACGTCACTTCCGCCCTATCTAGGCTCCTTATACTACTACTATATTAATTGAATCTTCCTTACCTTCTTAAATTGAAATCTACTGTGTGTGATAAATTATATTACGTAAAAATATGTAACCTTTTGATATTCTGTCAGGTGATTTTTTTTATCTTCTAGGTAAGAGGCTATTAGCCAATATCTTTGCTCTTATGACTTTACAGTGAAACATAGAGATAACGAACAGTATTCAAACTTGAAGTCCAATTAAACAACACAAATCGGGAACAGAAAAAACAAGGATATTCAAAGACATAAGGATCAGGTATCATGAAGTGGTTTCAGTTTTTTATTTTACTGCTGAAGGAGTATTCCAGTTAGGTGTATTACACCCTTGGTTTATTGGTTAGGTATGTGCAAAGAGTATTTTATATGATTTCATTGGGTATAACTTATATAGACGTAAAAGGTAACAACCACGATATATGATAAACGTGATAAATAAAAATTTTCTATCGCCAATTTCCCTTAATTAGGCAGTAATAAATCTTCATCATCTGCATATGGAGTACATATATCTCAGTTGATTCGGTACGCAAGAGCATGCTTTACATGTACGTATGAACAATTTCTAAAACGCGGTGAATTATTGACATGCAAACCGATAAAACAAGAATATCAGCAGTCTCGTTTAAAGTCATCATTTCGTAAGTTCCATGGTCGATACAAACACCATGTCAGCAAATACAACTTATCATTGAGTCAAATGCTGACTGACGTTTTTCATACCAATTGTTAGTCCATTATTTATACACTGAATTGACGACTGATTTTTCCGTGATCTCCCGATCATGACAAGGAGAACACGGCCGGTGTGATCGATCAGCAAGGAATGCTCACTCCTCTATGGCACCTGATCCCTCTTCTGATGTTTCAGGGGTATATGTTTACTCTACTCCTGTTTTGTATTGTTTTATGAACTTGAATATTGAATACTGTTCGTTATCTTCATATCCTTCTTATTTAACGTATAAGTATTTCTAATTTAGTCATTGTGTATTTATAATGAATAAATAAACATATAAATAAATGCAAGCAAAATTTCAATACCTATCGCACTAGATGATATGCCTGCACATTTTCCCCTAATTAGATGAAGACTGCGTAGAGATTCAAAATCACACTACTTTTAATCAGAAAACATAGAGCACAAGGTTTTTCAACAAAGATATATTTACTTAACCTTTGACACATATAATATACACATTATATGACAAACTCAACTCTTAACATGCTGTGCTCTTTGTTTACGAAAGCTATAAAGTAGGTACCAGTCAGTGATTTCTTTTGATATGCATGAACACCAAAGGACCCTTTCCTTTGCCGTTTCGTATGCTGCGTTTATCTATTTGTGACATTTTTAGATGATGACTCAAATAATAAAGTCATTCCCAGCAGGCACACAACGTTAAAAAAATTGAATCAAGGTTGATTATGTATATTGATTCCACGTTAAGTTTATGTTAGATTAATAAAATTGAGTTCAACGTTGATTCAACGTTGAAATTTTAACGTTAATTTAACGTTGAAATCTTAACGTTGATTCAACGTTGAAAATCAATGTTGACTAGACATTGAATAAAAGTTGATTCAACGTTTTTTTTTTATTTTCTTTCGGGAGATGAGAGGGGAGGGGTCATTACTTTATGAAGACATATATATATTATAAACATTTATTTCACTTCCTATCAATAGACGTATTACAATAAATTTCACCAAAATACATTTTATAAGTTAAGTTTTGCATTTCCACATGTGGTCATGTAATAGTCCAGAACATGAAACCATTTCAGGATAAGATGCAAATATATTTACATTCAGTATAATTTTCCTTATCAAATCCATTAGAAATCCACGACGTTCAAATTTCTATAACACACGCGAAACCTTGTCATCGCGCGGTAGAATACAAAGTAGGAATTATATGCATTTTCAATACTGTAGAAACACCAAAATGTAAAATGTTTTATTTCAATTTAATGAAAAACTACAGCCCTGAAAAATTAACGTAGAAATTAACGTAATGTGCGTTAAGAATTAATTTGTCACTTTTTTAATCGCAATGTTTGTTTGCGTAATTTAACTTTGCAACGTCACTTAACGTCATCTGACGTCACAAACGGCTTTTACGTCTATTAACCACGATAGTTTTGAAGGGCGCTAAATACACATTAAATGTTAACGAAATAAGCAATAGAGAAGAAGGAAAATTAGCGAATGTAAATATAAGCATTGAATTCATATTTTTGGCTGTCTTCGGTCCTATAACACACCTGGCCGTGCCGACAAATTTATCATACCGCGCTAACGCGCGGTATTCAATTTGTCGGCACGGCCAGGTGTGTTATAGGACCGAAGACAGCCAAAAATATGACTTCAATGCTTAAATTACACGGTACCACTTTTCATGCACCAGATACGCATTTCGACAAATTATGTCTTTTCAGTGATACTTGGACATGCTGAAATGTTTCCTTTTTTATTAAATCTTGGTGAATGAGTGCCGAGAGTGGTGTTGATCTGCTAATTAGTACTCCCTCATGGATTATGTTGGTCTTCCGAGTGGACAGAGTGGTGTAACTTTTAGTTGATTACCCCTACAATATACAATTTGATGTAATAAATATTTGTATAATGAAAGATGTTAAAATTACGTTCAATATCATACTTTTATTCCAAAATTATATTTCAGTGAAATTGAAATGAATAAAATCTTGCGCTTTTCCCAAACTATGAATAATCAAAGACAAAGGTATTAAAACAAAACAAAGTATTACATGTATACATATATGCAAAAATAAGACAATTTCTGGCATTGAAATAATAGTTTTTATTTAGAGCTTGGAAATGCAGTTTTTAAAAGTGCACTGAGAATGGTTAATGTACTGTACCCTTTTATTTCCCTCGTGAACATTCACAATATGGGGGTTAATAACAGCGACCAGATAGGAGAAGGCAGTGGGGTCAAAGCATGTACTAACGACATTCTACACATAATTCTGCAAGAATTAAAAACTTTCAAGTCTCAAAGAACCTATAACGAATTCCAGCTGACCATGCGCAGCTTCGATTACGATTTACCAAATTATGGTCACACTAGACAGGCCGAAGACACGGATTCAGGCGTACCCCGGAACCTAAAGGGAGAAAACCAGCAACATCCGATGGTACCATGAACTGGAATGACTATATAGTGCATTTTGAAATGATCGCCTTATTGAACCACTGGAATGAGGAAACAAAGGCATTAGAGTTAGCTACCAGTCTATACAGCCCGACACTAAGCATTCCGAGTGACCTACAACCAGAATATTGAAATAATTTTCGTCACCTTGTTTCCGTACTACCAGTAAGATTTGACCAAGAAAATTAAACAGAAATCTACGAGACACAAATAAAGAGTAGAATACGAAAGAAAAACGAAACGATCATAGAATTAATGCAAGACATAATTAGCCGCTTCAAGTTTGCTGGAGGCTGTAAGGGGCTGGAATGTCCTTCATTTACAAAGCACTTCTATATCATTGTTTGGTTGTGAGGTTAAATCTATTTTGCAGATCTGTTCCATCTCTTTATGGGCCATCCCAGGTAGCACAACAATGTTATTAAAACGTTGTAAAAAAGTTTTCAAAATGTTACAAAACATATTCTTTAACGTTATTACAATGTTATTTAACATGGTTTTTTAAACGTTATCATTACGTTTTTCAAAATCTTTTTCCTGTAATGTTTTGAAAACATTTTTGAAAACGTTTTGAAAACATTTTTGAAAACGTTTTCAAAACATTTTTAAAAACGTTTTCAGAACATTTCTAACAAGTGTTTTAAAGCGATTAAAAATTTATTTTTAAACATAAAAGCATTGCACTTCCTACAGTTTTA